CGCTAAATGAAAACACAGTAAAAAGCGCTGCACTCCAACAGAAACTGAGTAGGAAAGAAACATTAACCTCATCCACAAACGTGGGAAATTCGTTTTATCAAATAATCCGCAGTTACATAGCCCTAAAAGCGAGCCTCAGTGCTCCGCTTACCTGATTTGCGCCGAAGACGTCGCCTTTTGCAATTTGTATGACCAAAGAGTAGCCAATTTGCCCGGCAGCACCCGTAATAAGCACTCGCAATGGTTCAGCCATTCGAGAGAAGCTTCTTGAATTTAGGGATTTTGCTGAAATTCTGACAACAAACAACTGCAGAAAGAATGCCAGCCGCGTTGCTGTTGGCGCAAGGACGAAACGGTGACTGGGCAAAATATCAACAGTAGCGCCCATGCCTATTCAACGAATCCACTACAGCGCCGTTTGCAGAACGCAAAACGGAAAAAAAATCCGAATGTCGCCAAAATTTGGCATCCCTCGTCCAAATACTGACAGAACGGTATCTTCTCCACATTGTTTTAGGTTAATTTCACGCTAATTTAACGTGCTTTAGCTAAACAATTGCTTTCTGTGCATCCCGGTTCAACACCATTTTTAAACACCCTTCAGACGAATTGTGATCATTTCGACTCCTTATTTGATTGCATGCCAGTGAAGTTTGTTTTATTTCCACATAGTTTCTTCTTTCACATTTGCACCAATAAGCTCTACACCACTTGTGGGCAACCGGCAACCCGTGACCGGTTTAATCCGGCCTGCGGAGGAAATCGGGACATGGTGCCTAACTAGACAACAGGGGTTTATATTCCGCCACGCCTCTGCACTCACATGAAAATAAAACTAAAATACGCATCAAGCTAACAGGCGATAGTCTGGAAATTACTTTGAGATTCTGTGTCAGTGACATAAATCTAGTTTTCAGCAATCTCGTATCAAAAGTTCAAACCTACGGCTCACACTACCCTGTTGCTGATTTTCATGCGTTTTTGATGTGCAGTGCTATAGCGCTGCTACAGCCAGCAAAAATGCATATTGTCGGGATGCTGTCTGTGTGTGTTCGGAAAGCGAGTGCATTTTGTCATTCACTTTCATCTCAGCAACCAAGAAAGCTGGGAGGCTGGAACTTTGGATATATGTTCCTACCCCGTGTGTCATCCTCCCGCTTTCAGATATTTCCCCATACGCGCCTAGACCCCGCGTACGGGACCCCTAAAGAAAAATGTTGACGAAAAACGATTTCGCGAACGAAGCAACGTAGAAAGCTCAAACTTTGCAGGAATATTCTCTATGCACGTGCGAGATAAAAATTTTAAACTCGGCTCTCTAGCTCCCCAATCACAGCCTCAAGCAGCTCCTCAATCCAAAAATCGTTAGCAACTCGGACCTGAACCGCAATTGTATTTGCAAAAACGTGGATTTTTTGAAAAACGACCGTCCGAGCAATACTTTCAGTTTTTAATGAACTGAAAATTTGAATATCTTCAAAAAGATCGTTCAAACCTCGGGCCTTAACCGCAATCATATATGTAAATGAACGTGAATTTTTTGACAAACAACCGCTCGAGCAATACTTCCACTTTTTAGTGAACCAGGAATTTGCATTTTTTCAAAAAATTTGCATTGTCATTTTTCCACAAAAGGAGCATTTACCAAAAAAACGACCGGACTTCATGCGAAAAACCGGTAACATGCACCTGGATGTCCGTGCGGCTCTATAATGCACCATCTTCATCCCAACTGACGCCCTTCCTCC